ATATATATATATATATTGCTATAATTAGAAAAAAAAATTTTTTTTGAGACAGAATCTCACTTTGTTGCCCTCAGTAGAGTGCCATGGTGTCATAACTCACAGCAACCTTAAATTCCTGGGCTTAAATGATTCTCTTGCTTCAGCCTCCCAAGTAACTGGGAGCCTACCACAATGCCTGGCTATTTTTAGAGATGGGGTCACACTCTGGCTCAGGCTGGTTTCGAACCTGTGAGCTTAGGCAATCCACCCACCTCTGCCTCCCATGATCTGGGATTTACAGGCATGGGCCACTGTGCCCAGCTATAATCAGAAAATTTTTTTTAATTTTTTTTTTTTTTGAGACAGAGTCTCATTATGTTGCCCCCGGTACAGTGCCATGGCATCACAGCTCATAGCAGCCTCTAACTCTTGGCCTCAGCCTCCTAAGTAACTGGGACTACAGGCGCCTACCACAATGCCTGGCTGTTTTCTCCTCGGCGGGCCCAGGCCGAGTTAACCTAGCAGCCCTGGTGTATATGGCTGGCGCCCTAGCTGCTGAGCTACAGGTACCCAGCCAATCAGAAAAATTTTAGTGGCTTTTAATTCTGAAATACATACTTATTGGGCTTTCTAACAGTTAATCTCTATAATATGTAGGTATATTAAATTACTAAAGTTACACATCCAGTGTATTCTAACAGGTGACTGAAATAATTCACATTTAATCGTTTTTAAACTTTTCATTTACAGTATTTTATTTTTGGCTGGGGCTGGGTTTGAACCATCTCTGGTATGTGGGACCTGCACCCTACCTCTTTGAGCCACAGGCACCGCCCATCACTTTTTAAAATTTTCAGTTAAGGTATTTTTAACAGATACTATCATTAAGACAGTGACTTTTCCACCTTTTGAGTTGGAGGAAAAAAAAGTCTGTTCAAAGTAAATTGTACCTGGAAGCCTGATTTTTTTTAAAGTAAGAGCTATTTAGGTTGTTTAAAGGAAGTAGAAAACTTGAGTATCTTTATGGCAGAAGGGTTAGAACCACTGGAGATCACAAGGGTAGGATGTTGGAAGTTAAAAGGAGGGCAAATATGGAAGAGAATCTCAGGAAAGGATGAGAAGCAGGGGTAGCCTTAGGATGCTAAGGTACACTTATGTTGACAGGATGGAAAATGATAAGAGGGCAATGGGTGCTTTTGTATGTAGTTGTGTGAGTGATGGTGGTGGTAGGGGAACTTTGGGCTAGTTGTGTGGATGCGGTATGGTTTTCACCTACACTGAAGTAGTAAGCTATGTGTGCTACAGAGATGAATGACTAGATGCTACCAGTACTCAGACATCATAGTCAGTGTTCCTTAAGCATTCCCATGTAGCAAGAACTGACTGGAACTGAGAAGTGGTTTGCTCCTTTTGTTGTGTTTTCTCCGGGCCCCAGTCTATTTTACTTTTTACCTACTCAGGTCCATCAGGCATTTGAGTTAGTGGTACCTGACCTGAGACACGGAGTGAACTAAAAAGTGTACAGAGAAGAGACATACAGGTCAGGAAGAAATAACATAATTGCATTGTGAACTCCCATAACTTTTTAAAGTGTCAACAGCTAATTCAAATTTTTATCTGTGAGCACAAAAAAGAAAGTGTTCTTGTTGGCTCTGTCTGCTTAGAAGTTTTTTACTTGTATTTCTGCTAACATCTTGTTACTTCTCAGAAGTTATCATACTTTCTATGCAGCTTTGTTACTTTACAAGGCCTTTATCATGACCATTTAACACTACATAGTCTTATTCACACACGAGATAGATTAACCTTTGCATCATGTTAGCAGTTAACCAAGTATGCTAGCAGGACCCCCTTGTATGCATCTTAGGGACAGAGGGGGGTTAGCATAGGTTTCTGATTTGAGGACGTTTCAGACTTTAGAATAAAAAAGTATTCATAGTCCTGAGGGTAAAACCTTTTCTGTTAACGATGAGTCTAAAATAAGATGCTAATTCAGTGCGGTACTTCAAAACGAGTTATATTTGAACTAAAAAGCTGTCAGTCTGTTTAATATGTAGTTATTTGACATTTTAGAGAATAACTTTCATTTTTATAATTTGAAGGCTAAGTTTTAATTGTTTTAAATCTAAAGTGGAACTGAATTAACTTACATAAGCCAGATGCCAATATTTTTGGTGTAAATGGGCTTTGAGAATACATTCTGAGTGATTAGGTGGACCTACATTTTTGGATTTACTCTTTAGGCCATTGATTATTGTTGTATTTTGTCATGTTACAATCCATTGGGTTGATTAAACCAAGCAACTTGTGAATTTTAATCTTGGGTGTGTGTGTGTGTTTCTTTCTCCTCACATTAGAATTTGGTGGCTTTGGTTCTGTAACAGGAAAAATTGAATGTGAAATTAAAATTAATCATGAAGGAGAAGTAAACCGTGCTCGTTATATGCCGCAGAATCCTCACATCATTGCTACAAAGACACCATCTTCTGATGTGTTGGTTTTTGACTATACAAAACATCCTGCTAAACCAGGTATGTAATAGCAAAGTCAGACCATTACTTGAATGTTTTTCTTGATTCGAAATGGTAATATTTTTAGGTAACTCAAAGTAGTAGTATACTCTGTAATCTTTAAAGGTTTAAAAATTGCTTTCGGGGTCCCATACCATCCTCAAGTTGCCATAAGAGCCTAATGGATAAGCTTTATTACAGCAAAGGATACAGAGCAAAAGCAGGAAGGAGAAAAGATACACAGAGACTGTCTGTCCAAAGAGGTAAGCCATAGGCTTCTGAGCCCTTTTTCACAGGGCCCCATAGGACATACTCTCTTCTTGGCAGCAAATCACAGAAACGTGCTAAATGTCTCTGCCCAGGGTACCCTCTTTGACTTGTGTCTGAGGTTTTTTATGAAGGTCTGGTCACACAGGTGTATCCTTTATCCTGTGACCAGCCACAGTTACAGAAATTCAGGATCCCAGCAGAGAAGCCAGATCTTGCTAAACAGTCTTCACAAGTCTGGACAAGTGCCTACAGGATGCCCCACTGCTCTGGGCATGTATAACATCATCAGTCAGTAACATAAAGAATTTCCTGAGGGTCACATTCCCAAGGGTTGGCCAAGGGTCATTCATGGTTGCAGGCTACCCTAAAGGGATGCAGGGACTGAGCAACCAGACCTGCTGTGTTAGAAATACTTCTAAAAATGGACTAGGGTGGGGGTGGGGTTACCACTACACAAATTTGTGGGATAGCTGTAGTTTTCAGTATTTTGTGTTGCAGATAATACTAGGTTTTCCAAAGAAACCAGTCATTTAATAGTCACGAGGCTCAGTTTGCATTGAGTATTAAAAATGAAGCAGAGAGAACCAGTTTTCGTTATGGTTCAGACCAAGTCTTTTATGTGCAGTTGAGTTGCTGTTATGGTTCATCCAATGAAGGACTGAGAATTTGCTCTCATCAGTTTTGATAAACATAATTTAGTAGCTAATGTATTTCTTTTTTTCCTAGACCCAAGTGGAGAATGTAATCCTGATCTTAGGTTAAGAGGTCACCAGAAGGAAGGCTATGGTCTTTCCTGGAATTCTAATTTGAGTGGACATCTCCTAAGTGCATCTGACGACCATGTGAGAAAATATATTCCTAATCTGTTTGTATACTGAGAGTTAAAGTGTCAGCTCTGGAATGAAGGAATGCTATATAGATGAAAGGTTTTGCAAGATAATACTGCTGATTGTGATAACATTTTCTCAGAATTTAGAGGGATGGTTTTCAGATTGCCCTCTTGAGAGTCTTAGGATTCCACAAAGCTCGTTTAAAATAGCCTTAGAGGCTCAGCACCTGTAGCTCAGTGGCCAGGGCACCAGCCAAATAACACCAGGACTGGTGGGTTCAAACCCAGCCCAGGCCTGCCAAACAACAATGACAGCTACAGTAAAAAAAAATAGCTGGGCATTGTGGCTGGCGCCTGTAGTCCCAGCTACTTGGGAGGCTGACACAAGAGAATGGTGTAAACCCAAGAGTTTGAGGTTGCTGTGAGCTGTGATGTCATGGCACTCTACTGAAGGTGACATAGTGAGACTCTCAAAAACAAAAAAACAGGCTTAGAGTGGAGGGAGGGTGGGTGAAAGACCTCCCATTGTTTAAAAAAAGACCTTTAGGTTCTTATAATGGGAACTATATAGAGTATGGGGCCTGATTAATAGAAAGCATTTTCTTAGTTTATTTTTTAGGTATACAATATAGTGAGTTTTAGTATATTCACAAAGTGTACCCAGTACTACCAATTATAGAATATTTTCATCAAATATCCCCTTAAAATTTTATACCCATTAAGCAGTCACTCCATTTGCCCATTCCTACAGCTTCCACTAATTTGTTTTTTGTCTGTGTAGTATTGTCTCTTCCTCTAATGTTCTTTTTTTTTTTTTTTTTTTTTTTTTCAGAGTCTCACTATGTCACCCTTGTTAGAGTGCTGTGGTATCCCAGCTCACAGCAACCTCAAACTCTTGGGCTTAAGCGATTCTCTTGCCTCAGCTTCCCAGGTAGCTGGGACTACAGGCACCCACCACAACACCTGGCTGTAGTTGTCATTGTTGTATAGCTGGCTCGGGCCAGGTTTAAGCCTGACACTCTAGGTGTGTATGGCTGGCACTGTACTATGGGCGCTGAGCCATCCAATTTTAGATAAATGAAGTCATATAACATGTGGCCTTTTCTGCTTGGCTTCTTTCACTTAGCATAATGTTTTCAAGAAACACTCTACCTCAGCTCGGGGCCTGTGGCTCAAGTGGCTAAGGCGCCAGCCACATACACCTAAGGTGGCAGGTTCGAATCCAGCCTGGACCCACCAGACAACAATGATGGCTGCAACCAAAAAATAGCCCGGCGTTATGGCGGACGCCTGTGGTCCCAGCTACTTGTGAGGCTGAGGCAGGAGACTCGCTTGAGCCCAGGAGTTAG